TTCACCATCAGCCACCTTGTGTTGGAACTGGTCGGTGTATCTTTCCCCAGGGCTAGGATTTCACTCCATTTTGGATTTGTTTCCACAGCGGGGGGCGGGCACAGTGTTCTGGAAAAAAACCATACTTTATGTGATCCTTTCCCCAAGTCTCAGTTTCCCCATCTGTGGAGTTTCCCCTCATTTCACTTCCAAGGTGGTCGTCAGGCCAAGCAAGCTCAGTGTGCCTGGAACCGCCCCCCCACCCCCGCCACACACACACACACACACACACACAATCCCCACCTTGGGGGGCTGCCAGCCCTATCTGCTTACTGACTCTAAGTTCTGCTAGGACCAAGGCTGCCACTGCTGTGCACTCTGTGGGGCTGTTTGTGTTTCTGGGGCATTGGCCCCATTGTGCAGGTTCAATGGGCTGGGGAATAATTCACAGGATTGTCTTTTGTCCCGGATGGGGTCCCTTTCCCCAAGGCCCCCAGCTCATCTGTCAGCCCCATGGAACAATACCCACAGATTGCCGGAGGCAGAGGCGAGGTCTGGCTGTTGGGACATCTGCCTCCCAGCCCCGGTCCCTGATTAGATGTAGCAGGTGTTGCCCTCTCACGGGGTGCCAGGTGGGCCCCTTAGGAAACTGCCAGATGAGTCACGGCAGAGAATGGGGGAGGGGCTGGACCGCTGTGTGAGCCCCGATGGGGAGTAGTAATGAGTGGGACCTGGGATGCTTGCCTGGCTGGGATCAAGGCTGGGTATGTTACAAGAGAGGGCAGGCGACCAGTGCAGCACCACACAGGAATCTTAGTTGGAGAGTTAGGGTTTGGCAAATATTGATCCTTGTGTTTATTTAAAGGAGAGAGCGAAAGAGAGAGATCTCCCATTTGTTGGTTTGTTCCCCAAATTCCTGCAATGGCCAGGACTGGACCAGGCTGACGTCTGGAGCCAGGAACTCCGTCTGAGTCTTTCACATGGCTGGCAGGATGAGCCACCACCTGCTATCTCAGCATGGGCATTAGGAAAAAGAAGTTTTGTTGTTGATTTGCTTTTCTATTTCATTCTAATATAAAATTATTAACACCTGAGGAAATATATCCTGATTTATATAGAGTAGTCTCACATAATCAGGACACAGATTTAGAAGCATGGGGCTCCCGCCTCCCCCTCCTCCTTGCCTATCTTCCCCCCTTATTTATTTTGCCCCTCCATAAACCTCACATTTTTATTTATTAACTGAAAGAGTGACAGAAAGAGACACAGATGCACAGATCTTCTGAGCACCCCAGTGGCCACAGCTGGGCCCGACCAGAGCCAGGAACCGTGGAATTCCATCTGGGTCTCCCATGGGTGCAGGGGCATAAGCCCTTGGGCCATACTGAACCATTTTTCTGAGCACAGGGAGCTGGATTGGAAGTGGAGCAGCCGGGACTGGAACCAGCGCCCACATGGATTTCAGTGTGGCTCTGGTTCTAATTCTGAATCATTTTCGTAAAGGGCGTGTGCAAGCTGTCCTGAGGCCGTCAAAGCAACTGGAATAAATTCATGTGCAATGGTTTAGCAGACAAGGACCACTGAGCCACCACAGTGCCAACGGCCACCATTCTCACTGTTCGGTCTGCCTTTCTTGGGTGTTTTCTCACTTAGTCCCCACCCTCAAATTTGAATTGAAGTCCTCTGCCCTCTGGAGTCCAACTGGTCTGTCTAGGTTCCCGGTGGCACCGTTTTTTATTTGGCTAACCTCAGAGCAAGGCACCGCACTTTGGAGCTGGGTTTCTTCCTCAGTAGAACGGGGCTAAGAAGCACCAGCTCCGTTGCTTGGCGATGGCAGGGAAAGTTGTCCTCACTGTTCTCAGCAAGGGTCCCGTTCTCTTCTTCCGTGCTTTTCTTTCCTCTTCTCCACCTCTGGAATCTCCTTGTCTGATGGCAGATCTCGAGATCTCATTAGTCGGATGGATGTTGAGGTTGGCACATTTTATCTGCCTCTGCAGAAAGCTCGGCTTACCTTGGTTGCGCCTCCCGCTGGGTGCACCAGAGTTTCAATGTTTCCAGCAGCTCCTACAATCTCAGTCTCCTGATTGATCCTAGGGCGGCTTGGGCTGGCATCTGTTGGATGCCTCAGGTCTCTGAGCAGCAATTTTTTTTTTTTTGGTTAAGGTTTATTTCTTTGTATCGGAAAGTCAGATTTACAGACAGAAGGAGAGAAAGAGAGGAACATCTTCCATCTGCTGGTTCACTCTTCAAATGGCCACAAGGGCCGGTGCTGAGCCCATCTGAAACCAGGAGCCAGGAGCTTCTTCCGGGTCTCCCACACAGGTGCAGGATCCCAGGGATTTGGGCCATGCTCTACTGCTTTCTCAGGTCACAAGCAGGGAGCTGGAAGGGAAGTGGAGCAGCCAAGAGTTGAACTCACGGCATTTTTTAATCCCAGAGTCAGGCAGCAAAGTCCAGAATCCCAGGAGGGGTCGGAGGAGTCTGTATGTTTCCACGGAAGTCGTTTGTTTGTTACCAGGAATTAGATGCCATGCTGTGGAGCGTGTGGGGGCAAGAATGTCCTGAGGAGGGGCCTGATGAGCAGGTTGGGGGTCCTGACATGAGAACAGCAGAAGGGGAGCTGAGAGGTGACACTCGTCACCACAGTCTCTTGAGGAGGACACCATCATTCTCCCCTTTGATAGATTGGAAGACTGAGGTTTGCTCAGGGTCACCTGGCAAGCCAGTGGCAGAGCAGGATGGGAACTGATGCAGCATCTGTTGCTGCATGTTGGGGTGTCCCCTCCACCCCCAGGTGACACTGGCCCCATCAAGATTCAGCTCCATGTCTCTGTCTTTTTAAAATACTGTTTACATATTGGACAGGAAGGGAGAGGTGCAGTGGGAGAGAGAATTTTCTGTTTGCTGTGCATTCCCCACATGCCTGGGACAGCCAGGGCTGGGCTGAGGCTGCAGCTGGAGTTGGGGCTGTCAGTCCAGGTCTCCCTCGGGGGGTGGCATGCGAGCCATCAGCTGCTGCCTTGCAGGCTCAGACTTAGCAGGACACTTGGGTAGGGAATGGAGCTGAGTATCAAACCTGTGCCCTGATCTGGGGTGCTTTGATGGTAGACCTTGCGTGGGGGGTCTTCACAGCTTCACTTTTGAGTTGCACCCTCCCCCTGGGTTGGAAGAGGGCGGTGTCTATCTTGGCAAACATGCTGTGACTTGGAAGCAGGACCTGGGATCATGTCTCCTGTGTGCCCACGGGGCCACACCTCATCCCTCACTCCTGTCTCCTCTCTTTGATGACAGCTGCCCTCACACGTGGTTCCAGACCTGCTTCCACGGCTGCCACCATGCCAGTGGCATCAAAGGCATAAGCCAGGTGAAGGTGTGTTTCTTCCCTCCTGCTCTGGGTATATTGGGCGTGCAGACAGCACTGGCTTTGCGCTCTGACGTCTGCCATGAAGGCTGCACCTGACGATTGCTCCTGGATAATACCAGGGGTCGGGGAGACCTCGGGTCATCCCCTGAGTTTTAGGGTTTCAATGAAGGCCCTTTGATCTTGAAATGAGGAATCATGCAGCTTTTGAGAGCCAAATGTTGGGGTCCTGGCATGCGGCTGTAGGTGTCTGAGTGGCCTCTTTCCTTACATAAAAAAAAATTAAAAAAAAAACATATTTAGCCTGACTGAGGAATGCTGGACTCAGAAGGAAATGCTACCGTGGTCAGTACCCCAGTGTGCCTGGGCAGGCGCTTACTGCAGTCCAGAAGCAGAGGCTGATTGTGGCTCTGAAATGCCCCCTCCCTGCCCAGTCCTAGGAAACCAGCAGTCTGCTTTCTGTGGTGGTTCACTGCATCTGTTTTTGCTCAAGTTCTCCGTCCACACGTGTAGCTCCCGACGCCTAGCGTGGTGCCTTTTGGGCTCATCCTGGCCATCCGTCTTGGTGCGGTCCAAGCCCCTTCGTGAACGTGGAGTTGCAGCTCGATTGTGACTTTCTGTTCATTATGCCCATTTGTACAGAGGTCACCATCCACTGGCCTTAGTGAGTGGGCATCGGTGCTATACCATCCTCCTGCCCACAGCTGTGCCCCCGTGCTCCAGCGGCAGTACCCTTCTGTCTGCTTCCTGTCGATTTTATTTTGGTCAAGCTTGTGGCATAGATAGGACCCGTGTGTATTCTATTATTCCACCCTCCTGTGCTTAACTGAATGTTTTTGATGTTGATCCATATTTATTACCATCCCAACAATATGTTTCCTTCTAGTTGCTGAGGAAACTTGGTACGTGCTTGTGTCATATTGAGGGTTTTTTTTTTTTTTTTTTTTTTAAGATTTATTGCTAAGGTAGAGAGAGAAAAGGAGAGACCCAGAGAAGGTCTTCCATCTGCTGATCCACTCCCCAGACGGCTACAACAGCCAGAGCTGAGCTGATCTGAAGCCAGGAGCCCAGAGCTTCTTCTAGGTCTTGCAGGTGAGTGCAGGGTCCCAAGGCTTTGGGCCGTCCTCTACTGCCTTCCCAGGGCATAAGCAGGGAGTTGGACTGGAAATGGTACAGCTGGGGCACGAACTGGTGACTCTATGGGACTCCAGCACCACAGGGTAAAGGATTATCCTGTTGTGCCACTGTGCTGGCCCTAATCTTATCCAGATCCACCTACCCTAAAGTTTACACTCGCATGCGTACCTTGCAAGATAGTTGTAGCTTTAAAAAAAAGTTATCAAGCAGCCACTGTAGCACAGCAAATGCGGCTGCAGCATCTCTGTGAGTGCTGGTTCGGACACTGTTCGCTCTGCTTCCCCTCTAGCAGTAAGCTGGATTGAAAGTGGAACCCAGCCTCCAACTAGACTCATGATTACGGGGTAGGATCCTCTTGAATGGCGTCTTCCCTGCTGGAGCCCATGTCAGCCCCTAACACAGCACTAACTCAACAGACCCTTTGACACTGCCGGTGCCTTAATCAGCTCAGGGATTCTGGGGCTCCCCAGGAGCAGGAGCAGAAGGGGGTTCCCTGAGCAACTCTGGGGTCTGTTTGCAGAGCACAGCAAGTTCCTGGGACACAGGTGGGAGTTCCTGGATTCTTTGGGACCAGACTGCGTGCGAGCGTTGGTTACCTTCGCTTGGGAGAGAGCAGTTTTGTGGACCAGCCCACGGCCCTCCAGCCCACCTTCTGCCAGCGTGTGCAGGAAAGTGTTGGATCCCAGGGAGGGAGGGGAACGCTGGGACCGCCCCACTCATTTTTGTTCCTCTGTGCCAGGAAGAAAAGGCTGCTTGGTTCCCTTTTTGTGGGGATGTGCCACATAAGGCGATCAGAATCCCAGATTTCTGACCCCTCTGCCCAGTTCTACCTCCCAGCAAGCTGCCAAGTTTGTCCGGCTTTTTCCTGGGGATGTGGGGTTGGGGTGCGGGGAGACACGCCCTCCACACCCCTTGAGGTTGCTCTAGGGTGGGAGCCTGGGGGAGGTGGCGCATGCTATGCCTTGCCCCTGTGCCCGGCTCACCAGCTGTGAGCTCAGGCCAGGCCTGGGTCTGGGAACTGGACCTGGATGCGGGTTTTCTCCCGAGGTGGGGTTGGTGCTTTTTCTCTTCCAGGGTTGGCCGCACTGGGGAAGGAAGTGGAGCCGGGCCTGGGCTGCCTGCGATACTGGCAGGTGAGCTTGGGCGGAGCAGAGAAAGGGACCGGCCTTGAGCACACTCTGATGGGGTCTTGTCCCCCGCCCGGGCTGGGCCTGTGGGGTGTGCATGGGACGGGTGGGCTCACAGCCGGCCATGACTTCCGTAGGCTCCTTTTCTTCCGCTTCGCTGCGCACACACCACCACCTTTCTTCCAGCCCGACACCGCAGAGATGCAGAGAGGCACCAAAGGCCTGTACTCTGCAACTGCCAGGTGAGGTGTTCCCACAGGGTGGCGCGGGGGTAAGCGCCCATTCTGGGCGGGGTGTGTGGGTGCTTGCGAGTGCCTGTCCTGGGCGCAGGGTGCAGACGCCCTTGCTGAGAAATCTGCAGGGGGAATTCAAGTCCCTGGGGGGGACTCCGGAGGCCCCCTGCCACACTGGGCCCTTGTTCCTTATGGTCTGTTCTCCACCTGGGAGACCCTGGTCCCCTGAGCCTTGGGTAGGGTGGGAGGGGGAAGAGGGGTATTCGCTGTAGGGGGATGGACGATACCTAACAGCTTTCATCACTTCCTCCCCCTGTCCTCAAATTTCTTCTGCAAAGATTTGAGTGCCCCAAGTTCACAGCCCCACCTCGTGTGCATGTTGTGGGTTCCTGGGGGCAGGGTGGCAGTGCTGCCGGAAGCTGAGGGTGGGGGGTGTGTCACTTACTTAGTGTCACTTGCTGTGTCTGCACCAGGAGACTTCAGCTCTGGCCACATGGCCAGGACTCCATGCCTGGTGCTAGTGGCCATCGGAGAACCCTGGGTGATTTCTGTGAAGACCTTGACCTTTCCTCAGTTTTGGAGCGGAGCCTTCTGTGGACAAGAACCCTCCTTGGCCGAAGCTCGGCTGGCAACTGAACCTGGCTGTTGGGGACAGCTCAGGGGTACCAGAGGGGGTGAACAGCCACCTGCCCTTCCCCTGTCTGAGGGCTCTCCTAATCCCTTGAGGATTTAACTCACCCTTGCTCAACTGCCTGCCTGCCTGCCTGCCACATGAGGCCAGGCTTCCCTGACCACACTGTCCCCTGGGTCTCAGAGGCTGCGACAAGAGGTGGCAGGTGCAAAATGGGAGTTGGGAGCGGCTGCTGTGGGAGAAGCACAGACGTGGGTCTTTGGGGCGCCACAGGCTGGAGTCCCCCTCCCTCTGTCTGTCGCTGAGGTGTGTCCTGTGAGTGTCATTTGTGTGTGTGTGTGTGGGGGGAACTTTCTAGATAGTCCTGTCTGGTCATGCTCTGGGTCAGAGCCTTGGTTCCAAGCGGTGCAGCTCTGGGTGGGATGGTTCTGATGGGGGCCTGCTTTCTTGCCAACATGGGATTTCTGAGTAAGGATGAGTCGAGGCCAGGGAGAGACATCAGGAAAGATGTGGCTAGCTTGGGGTCTTTACTCCCACCACCAGCAGGGACCCACACTCCCCCCAGCCCCCTGCAGACCCATCTTAGGATCCCCGGAACAACTCCCTTTATTTCTGGATTTTGCTGTCACACACTCACCTGTCCCTTCTGCACCTGGGACTTAAGCCCCCTGTGGGTGGGCCCATCCCAGTCCTTGCAGGAGGCAGCCTGGGACCCTCTGGAGACAAGTGACCAAGGCCCCTGTGTCCTCTCTCCAGTGCGGGGGGAAGAGGCTGGGTGGCTTGATCCCCCCCACTGGGCATTTGTTTTCTTGTAGCTTGGGAGATCGGTCAGGCTAAGGTGTTCCCGTGAGCCCCCTGCCCACGGTGCCTTCTCCCCATGCCCCATCCCCTCCAACCTCTGAAGCCGCCACTTCTAGGGTCTTCCTCAGTTTACCAGGGCCCTAGTCCTGTCGCATCATGGCCCTGCCCTGAGGCCCGCATCACATCTTTTGAAGTGTCATTGCAAATACGGTCACCTGGGGTCTCCGGGCTCAGACCCTAATGAGTTTGGGGGAGGAGAGGACAGAGGTGTGTGTCCCTTGGGGATCACCACTGGCTTGCTGAGCTGGAGCCAGGGCTGGGGAGGAGCAGGTACTTACAAGGCAGATGCTGAGAGGGGTGGGTGGGTGGGTGGGTGGGGCAGCACCAGCCTGGGCAGAGGGGCGAGAGGAGGAGCTTCCAGGGAGCCGGGTCAGCTCCAAGGCATGGACTCTGCTGTCTGTCTCCGGCCAGGTCACTTACCTCTGTTGAGCTTTGACTTGCGCCTGGCTGCGGGGCGGGCTGTGCTGTCCTGGAAAGATTGGATGAGAAGGTGTCTGCTGCTTGGCCCAGGGCTGTTAGCAGCGCTCCTAAGTAACTCCCCCTAGATGCTTTGCCATCAGCCCGCCCCCTGCCCCATCCCCTTGTACCTGTCATCCACTGGGGAGAGGCGGCCAACTTCACAGCTTCCCTAATAGCTCGTGGTACTTTGTGGGGGTAGCACTTTTTTTTTAAAAGATTTATTTGAAATGCAAAGTGGAAGAGAGCTTGGAAGAGGAGGAAAGTGATATTTTGTATCTTCTGGATTCAAATGACCTCAACAGCTAGGACCTCCCATATCCGGGTCTCCCACAAGGCTGTCAGACACGCAAGCACTTGGCTCATCTTCCACCACCTCCTAAAAAAAGGGCATTCAATGCAGGGAGCTGGATGAGAAGCAGAGCGGCCAGGACTTGTGGCAATTCTGACCTGGATCCGGGGATAGGCCCAAGGACAGAGGATTGTCCAACTTTTCTCAATATGGAATCCTTTCAAACCATGAGCGATGCAAGGCTGGGCTTTTAAAGAAAATATAGCAGTAGCTAGAGGGACCCCCACCCCCTTCAGGAATGTGGTAACATTGACTGGCAGGGAAAGCAGGCCCAGAGGGACCAGGGGTTTGAACTTGTCTGCAAAGAGCCAGGCTCAATGGGATGCTATGGCGTGGGGAGGACTGGCCAGCGGTTGGAGCTGAATGGAGAGTGATGGTGTCCACTGAGCTTGGTAGCTCTGGGGGACCAAGGGGGTCCAGTGTGAGGACGCACTGGCATAGTGTGTGTGTGTGTGAAAGCATCCCACCCCGCCCCGGGGTTGGGGATGGGCTGACCAGAACCAGGCAGGGGGTTTGTGTTGATAACAAGTAGAACACCTCTTTTCCGGGAGGGGAAGGGCAAGGTGGGGCTCGGAGCCTCACAAGCCACAATGCTTCCAAGCAGGCCGCATAAGAATTATATGGAACCGAGGGCCTCCCCCAGAGTGGACCCCCCTGCCCTGGTCAGGCCCCGCCCCCAACTCCCCAGGGTGTGGGGTGGGGCAGTGGAGCTGGAGCTGGAGCTGCAGGGCCAAGGGCGGGAGGGGTTGCTGCATGGTCTGATTAACCTACTAACCCAGGGCTCGGCCGGGACGCTGTGTGACAAGGTGCTGGTCTTCTGTCAACCGACTAACCCACTAACCAGGCCCGAGCATGCCCTACTAACCCCTCCCGCAGCCAGACCCAACTAACCCGTGCAGCTCACGGGCAGTGGGGACCGAGGGGGCTCTGCAGGGTCCTGCCTGCGGGCTGGGGTCTTTGTGCAGGCGCACAATGCAGGGTGGGCCACCACCATGCCATTCACCGATTTTGCCACTTTCCCCAGGGGGTGTTGAGTGGGTGACTTGGGAGTACTTATATTACCGATCCTAGCAGGGAGGTGGTCCCCTGAACAACAGGGGCTTGACCCAGAGCAAATACAGGATGTGGGTGGAGGGGTGGAGAGGCCCCTGCAGGCCTGACCGACCGCGCCCCCTGCCCAGGCCCTGGGCGCTGGGTGTTCTGCACACGGACCCTGTTGCCTGGGGCGGGACCCTCGCTCTGGACCCCCTTCCCGTCTCTTGCCCTCCTCCTCAGCTTTCTTCCCTGTAGGCAGCTCTTGCGTCCCGATTACTAACTGTCTAACCCTGAGGGCGTGGCCCCGCGCCCCCATCCCCTCCCACCCTGTAACCGACTAACGGCCCTGCGCGTGCGCGTGCCTTCTTTCCTCCCAGCGATTCCCGTGTGTTCTGCTGCGGTGCCCTGTCCGCTGCTGCTGTGCTGCTACTAACCCAAGCCCCCTACTAACCCTATTTTCTCTTCTTACTAACCCCCAGCCCTGCCGAGCTCTGGGGAAGCCCTGGGGGCTGGGCCCCTTCCCCCTGGCAAGCTGATGTCCCTTCCCTTGGGATGGCGCGGGGCGGGGTGGGGTGGGGGAAGGCTGATGCTGTAGGCAGATGGCCCACGTTGCCCCTACTGGCTATTTGGGATTTCAGAATCCTCAGGGCTGGGGTCTAAGGCAGGGGCCGCCTCTGGAGGGGGTCGGGGCTGGACTCTGGGAGTGGGCGGGCCCAGGGGAACCTCTGAGAGCCAGAGGATGGAGGTCTGGAGGTCCAGACAGCCTAATTAGTTCTGAGCCTTTCGCAGCCAAGGGAGAGAAAGAGACCTGGAGGGCAGCAGAGATGAGCTCCCTCTGTTGCTAAGTAACAGAGGAGGGAGCCCCGCCCAGGAGGGTGAGGCTTCCATATCTGGGAAGACCCCCTGAAAGGTGGCTGACTTTGGGAAGGGCTTTCCTCTTAGCTCAAGGCGGGGAGACTCGGGCCAATTAAATCAGCGGGAGGCTCTTTCCTACACAAGAACCAGCTAGACGCCAGGAAGTAGACCTGGGGTCATTATTTATTTAGTTTTGTACCCATTGGAGCTCTCTGAGGATGCCCTGTCCCATACCCGGAAGCTAAGAAGGCATAGTTGACATATTCCGAAGACCCGCAGGGAAGCAGCTCTCCCCTGGGCTTGGCATCTCAAGCATTCACCCCAAGTCCCGTTCACCGCCCCTGCCCCTGCCCCAGAGCCCGCCAGCTGCTGTGCCAGGGCCACACCTGGGGGTGATCTGCCTCACCTCCAGTAGGCACCTCGGTCTTCCTGGGCTAATTTCTGATTCCTTTGCACTAATCCTCGCTCTCACCTGGCTCATCTCTTGCCTCGCCCCCTGGCTGCCCCTAACAACCAACAGCCAACCCTTACTCCATCCCGGGGAGGTGTGTGGGGTTGGGCGATGCTCCAGGCTGCTGACCTGGCTTTCACTGGCCCTTCACGAGCCCATCCTTCACCTCGACTAACTCTTCCCGCCTCCCTGGTCCGTTCCTTTCCGCAGAGAAACTAATGGCTTGCAGATTTCTTCCCGACTAACAACAGGTCTAACACTGGGCGGCCGTCGCTGTTCACAGCTTGGATGCCGGCATGGCTGGGCGTGGGTCTGACGCAGGTGTGCAGCTGTAACACAGGGAGGTTGCTGGGGCTCTGGGCCAAGCAGTCACGAGTCAGCCAAGACGGTGGCTGGCGCAGGGAGCTAGCTGCCCCCAGGCTGGGCTGTAGTGGGACGGCCCAAGAAAGGGCAGAAGGACAGCCAGTCTGCCAAAGTTGGGGCATTCTTTATCACATACAGCAGTGGACACCAGAGGTGTAGTTGATATGTTCAGGGAAGATCCTGGAATCTTTTTTGGGGAGTTTGGGGAGCAGCGCTGGTGTTAGGAGTTTTAGAAGTTTTTGGATGCAAAGCTTTGGTTTGGACCATTCAACAAGCAGGGGAGCATCGGCCATCTATAAACCTTGGTGTGAATTAGCTCAGCTGCATCTTCTTACACAATTCTTGTATGCACGGCAGGGATGGCATCTGGTTGGCAGGATGGCTGGGTCTCTTTAGGACTGGTCAAGGCAGGGGGAGGCCATGAGGACAGGGGTGCCTGGACTGGGATAAGAGGTGGTTGGCTCAGGATTGGTGTGTGTGGGATAGGACAGCAAATGACAGGACCCAGAGGATTGGAGGGGTCAGGGTCAGAGGCCCAGCCTGGTGGCTTTAGAGACAGGTTGCTTGGGTCAAAGGCTGCTGGTGCCAGCCCCGTGTCTGACAGCCAAGGGCTCAGAGCTGGTCCTGGGGCAATCGCTGGTGGTGTGTGACCCAGAGACCTGAGTCACACACAAAGGCAAGCAAGGAAAGATGTCGCTGGCAGGTGCATGGGCTGCTGGCCTGGGATGGTCCCCAGCCGGTGCAAGCAGAGGACTCTGCTGCCCTCTAGCGGCCGTCCTGCTTCCTATGGCTCAAAAACAGACGCTCACAAAGAAAGAGACAGCTCTGGACTCCTTTTATCCAACTACAGGGGTCAGGTTTGGCCAAGGACCTACCACGTGCTAGGCACGTCTCTGGGGGAGGAGCCCTGCAGGTGGATTCTCCCCTCTCCCCTCTTTCTCAGTGTTTGTATAGCTCAGTGGGAGAAATAGACAGTGCAGGGAGAAGGGTGCCGTGGTGCCGCTGGACAGGGGGCAGCCAAATATGGACTAGGCTGCTGTGTGCCAGGTGCCGTGCCAGGCAGTGGGGCTGTTGTGGTGATCAGAGGCTACATGTTAGGTGGGTGCAGGAGGACAGAGTTAGGGTGGGGATTTACGGCTTCTTCCATGGAGTGTAGCAGTCAGGGAGGGCTTCCTGGAGAAGGAGACGTCTAGATTGAGCCCCGTCATGGTGGAGGGTGGGTGGGGTTGAGTTGAGGACAGCGACAATGGTTGGACACAGAGATGTGGGAATCTAGGGAGGATCCAAAGAGGTTCTGGAAGGTTTATACAGAATGTGGTGGTGATGGTGAGGTGGGTGGGGCGTCAGGAGCAGATGGGATG